TGCTAATTTTTTGAGAAGGACCTGTATATCATTTATATTATAAAATTTTATAAATAAAAAAAAATCTTACATGTATACATGCATGTGTGTATATTTATACAAAACAATAAGTTTCACTCTCTGCTGAGCATTTGAGGTGCCATAACAGAGTCAGTAAAAGCTCAGCTTTATTAATTTTTTATGTCATTGTTGAAAAATGTGTCTGGCTGAGTAAGATTCCTGGGAGTGTCATGATGAACATGTAGCAGAGGATTTGTCCTGTGTGGAGGAGACAGACAGTAGAAGATGAGTTAACTGGAGCGTTATAAGACCTTCACATGAATGGAGGTTGTGATAGGTCATGATCAGAGGGAACTGATTGAATCAGCTCAATATAGCAGACCACCTCTAGACCCTTACACTCTTAAGGAAGGAGCCATGTGATGCTGCCCGCCAGCAGACACTCCCTCTGACCTGGAACACACAAGTCTTCCTTCGGGCAGTACAGCATTCACGATGGGTCAGACTCAATTCCAAAATGAAATTTCATGGTTTTTGATACCAAAGCATATGGTATCCGAATAGATACCGAATATGCTGTTGAGCACAGTCCGTTTTTTTTTTTGTTCAGTAATTAGTATATACCCTTTCTCTCACATACTAAGTTATGGTCTGATCTGAATCAGGTCAGCTCTGCAGTATTATTAGTCCTGTCAAGTGAAAGAGACTAGACAGAACTTTAGCTTTCATGTATAAGTAAACATCTGTTATTTCCCAGAGTGCTTCTGATTTTCACTACAATAACCAGTGAGTTTGAAAATCGATGTTAGGCTGTCTGAACTAAATGGTTTTTGTTCGCGCTCACTGAACCAGATGTGTTCAGACATTCAGCAGATCCAATCTGGCTCTGTCTTTCGTGTTCGGCACCAAAGGCCTTGTGCGGTTATTGATGATACTGTCGTCTATGTCAGTCCAATTAGGGTTAGCCGGAGCTGATCGATGCTGTGTGTGTGATAGCAATTGCCGCTCTTGAATTTGGAAAATTGGCTGTTGGGAAATAAGGTTAAAAGCAGTGGTTAGAAATAGTAGTGGTTTGTTCTTTTCTGTTCATGTCATTTTCATTTATTTGAGGTGTTAAAACATCAACAACAACAAAAAAACAACACATTTTATATATGTTTTCCTAATACAGTTTGGCTCTGTTAAAAGCTGTGTATTTTAATTTACTGTATTAAAGCATAAAAATACCATAATACTGTATGCTTGCAGAGTTGTAGGAAACATGCTTGGTTCAAATACTTGTTTCTCTGAAAAATAATACTACAGCCAGTCATTGAAATGTGAAATGTCTCCTTTTGGTTTGGTCTCTGTGACTCCGCCCACTGCCAGTTTATTGAACAATAGTATTGCGACACCCTGGTTTGCCAGGAAAACACAGCGATGGAATCCAGCAAACGAACTGGGTCAGAGATCGCAAAAAAAACTAAGATACGTATACGTATACATTAGCTGATCAATTTGTACTGTAAGGCTTGTCGCTTTCCTTTGTCAATTGCGCTCTTTTCATTTGTGTGTCCTCAAAATGGCTACCCGCGTGAGCATCCAGTCAAGCATCCCCGAGGGGGCGGAGAAAAAACGTTCTCCATTTTTTTTTTTTTTAGTACCAAGTTAGCTGTCAAGATTACAGTGCACCTTTAAAGCCAAAGTGATCTTTTGATTTTTGTTTTTTTAAACACATTTTATACATTCTTACTAATACAGTTTGACTCAACAAGACAGTGATGTTGTTGTTTTTTAAACACATTTTATATATATTTTTTCCTTATACAGTTTGACTCAGTTAAAGGGATAGTTCACCTAAAAATGTAATTCTTGTCATCATTTCCTCAAGTTGTTCCAAATCTGTATGAGTTCCTTTCTTCTGTTGAACACAAAAGAAGATATTTTGAAGAATGATGGTAACCAAACAATTCACTGTAGCCATTGACTGCCATAGTATTTTTTTTTTCTACTATGGAAGTCAATGGCTACCGTCAACTGCCTGGTTACCAACACACTTTCTATTATATAGAAACCGTATTTTAATACGGTTTGACTCAGTTAACTCCATAGTGATCTTATGTTTTTTAAAACAGATTTTTTTTTTTTTTCTAATACAATTTGACTCAATTAATGCCATAGGGACCTTATGTTGTTGTTGTTTTTTCAAACCATTTATATTTGTATTATTACTTTTCCTGATGCAGTTTGTTGTTGTTGTTGTTGTTGTTGTTGTTGTTGTTATTCATATTATTTTTCCTAATACAGTTTGGCTTAATTTCACTTTATAGGCCCAGCAGAATCTGCTGATTATTATTATTTCGTTTTTTTAGGGGAGAAAATCTGGAAAAAATTTAATGTTAAACGGAGCTAAGAGTATTACACTCTTATTAGAAGCATGGAGGCATTGGCCAAAATATTTAGTATATGAAACCACAAGTGGTGGGAGATGTGTATAACTTTGTGTCTATTAAAAATTGGAAATGATAATGGGTATAAATAGGTATAAATTTAATATACTAAATAAAATGTAGTGATTAACCAAATGGTCCCAGGTGTCCTCCCTGATACCAGTGGGACAATAAGTAAATTGCTCATGTAATATTTGTCTAATGGAGATGAAGTGCCCGATTAAAGTGACTGAAATGCCACGCTCAACCTCTCTGTCTCCATAGAGTCATGCAGGACAATCCTGGTTCACTCTCGGTCCAGCTGGAAAATTCAGGCTGTTGCCAAGAGACAGAGGAAGACATTAAATGCACTGCATAAGGATAAAACGAATGGAAAAGTGTGGGCTGACAACTTGTGGCATTTGTTTACATTTTACATTTATATGGCAGCTGTTGCCTAGCAACATTCAGATAGAACATCATTATCATGACCACTTTAATCCATCTTTGTGCCCAGACTGCCCACTGACATCTTCACTGCTCTGAGTTGGAGTTCAGAGAAACTTTTAGTCAATTTCACTGGACTATTTGTTGTGACTTTCCATCTCTTTCTGGAGACATTTTTAGGCTTTTTACATGACTTAAACTTGTCTTATTTTGCACCCCTTCACAGATTTGTGGTGGACCAGATAAATAGCATGATTTCTTGTTCTCCAGATTCTTAATTCGTCTTGAATTGTCTTCTCTATAACTCAGTGATTTATTAAAAGGGTTAGTTTGCCCAAAAAAAAAAAAACATTCAGCAGTTACTCACTCTCATGTCGTTTCAAACCCATAAGACTTTCGTTCATCTTCGGAACACAAATTAAGATATTTTTAATGAAATCTCAGAGGTTTCTGTCCCTCCATTTACATTCTATGCAACTACCACTTTGACGCTTCAAAAAGTTCATAAAGAGATCGTAAAACTAATCCATATAAGCGGTTTAGTGCAAATTTTCTAAAGAGACACGATTGTTTTATATGATGAACAGAATGAATTTTTCCACAATTGAACATAGACAGAAGCTCAACCGTACTTGCTTGACGCGCGAGAACAAACCTCATTGGTTCTTGCTGAAGCTCAAACGTGCTGCGTAACACGAGAACAAACCTCATTGGTTCTTGCTGAAGCTCAAACGTGCTGCGTAACATGAGAATGAATCTCATTGGTTCTCGCATGTCAAGCGAACATGCTTGAGCTTCCGTTTACCACAACTGATGCGTGAGTTGATGAATGTTTACATGTAAATAAAAGCTGAAATCCGAAAATCTGTTCATCATATAAAGTGATCGTGTCTCTTTAGAAAAATTGGACTAAACCGCTCAATTCATATGGATTCGTTTTAAAATGTCTTTATGAACTTTTTGAAGCATCAAAGTGGTAGTTGTGTAGCTGTCAATGGAGGGACGGAAAGCTCTCAGATTTCATCAAAAAGATCAACATTTGTGTTCCGAAGATGAATGAAAGTCTTACGGGTTTAGAATGACATGAGAGTGAGTAATCAATGACAGAATTTAAATTTTTACGTGATCTAACCCTTTAACGCATTGCTTTATGGAGCACCAAGAGCACTTGTCTGGGTCAGGCATTTAAGGCTGCTCCGCAGTCCTATGGTGATATTTCAGGTCATGCACACACTCTGAAAATGTATAGTGAAGGAAGGTCAGATGTTAAAAGCATACTTACTTGACCTTACCAGGTGCTATAGCTCGAGAGGGATGAAGTGGTAATGCAGAATGCATCGAAAGGGCAAGTGTGTGTGCGTGCACGTACCCTTGGTGGATTGGTAATATGAGTCTTATTGATCTGTGCCTGAGCTTCTTCAGGAAGATGGATTGCTGTTGTTATGACACACACACTGACTATACATGCTTACAGTACACACACTTACAGTCTTGCATGTGGATACTAGTACAGTATAATTCACTTTATAAAGACAAAAAAGTGCATACTATAATACATCGGCTCACCTGCATTCAAAACACTGCTCCCATTAGTCACCTGTATCTGAACACAGAAATGTCTTTAGTTTAGACTCTATAGACTATAGACTTTTGCTTAAATAGGTAAATTCATTTAAATTTTAACAAAATAAATTAAAACACTGGTGGGAAGATTATATTTAGGATAGATAGATATACGGATAGATACACACACACACACACACACACACACACACACACACACACACACACACACACACACACACACACACACACACACACACACATCAACGTACTCTTGCTCATATACCCTCTTGATCTCTTTGTCATCTTTTACCTCTCTCCCCGTTCCCTTCCCCCTAACAAACGCTACTTCATCTTGATATCTAATGCAGGTGTCATACTGTGCCATGATTGAATGTTTCATACTCTTGATAATCATATTAGATATTTATGATCCTCTGTGTGTTCATTTTATTAGATTCAGGCAGGGCTCTCCATCACTTCCTGTGGCAGGCTGACTTTTAGAGGACCGTCAGAGGGCAGCCCCACCTTCAGTTCTCCTTTAACTCAACCATGTTTTCCTTCTCTTTTTTTTTTGTATAGCGGCTCAAAGATGAGATAGCAAAGGTGACGAATGAGATCGAAAGTCTTGGCTCCACTCAAGAAAGGTAAGATGGGTGATTTAAAAAAAAAAAAATTATTATTATTTATTTTTTTAGTCAACATTAAAATGTTTTTTTTTTTTTATGTATTCTTTCCTTTTTCTTTCTTTTTGTTTGATGGATAGTGGTCCATTTGCCAATCAGATCCTGTTTCACTTGGAAATATGTTACACTATCTAAGAAAAATGGCTTGCGAAAGCTGGTTTGTGTTTATGCTAAAGGAAATATCCTCCTTCAACTGGTGTTTGCTATCTGATTCTGCCATATTTACACACACACAGACACTCACGAACACACATTCTCCATTTACTCCCGTCCCCTGTTTGAATATTTAATAACAGTGCCCCCTGCGGGAGGGAGGGCTGGTGAATTATGTACGGCTATTTTGCTAAAAGGGGTTGTAATTTGTGCAAATTGACTGAGATCTGTTCAGGACTTTGCAAGAATGTCTGAACAGTGCATTATGGTCATACAGTATGTTCAGTGAGTTTCCTTCATAAAGGAAAAGCATTTCAAACAGGATGTCTTAATGTTTTAATGCAGTCTGAGAGGACTGAGTTGCACTGCTTTTCATTTGTTTTTCTATATAAACATGCACTAGTGTTTGACTGTTGGGTTTGCGTCTTTTGCAGCGTCTCGCATAACATGCTGGCCTAAAAACACAGTGCTCAAGTTAAAGACTTAAACTTTTAAAGTCGGCAGGAAATGGGAGTTGCGATAGTCTTTTCTTCCCTATTGTGGCGTATATCAGATTGAAACGGCTTCTTGAACAAGAGAAAATGTAGGGCGCCACTTGATTTTGTCCATCGGGAATTGATTGGATCATTGTCATTTGCTATTGCTATGATCTCATGTGAGTGACAGTTTGTCCCGTCCTCACGCTAGTAAACACGTCCTCAGAGAAGAGAAGAGATGACGTTGCAAGAGGAAGTAATTTTGATTAAAGATTAAGAGGGCACATGAATTAAAAAAATATAATAATAATATTGGGCACGGATAAATCATTTAAAACAAATATAGCAATATTCCATTTAAAAAAAATTGTCAATTTTGATTTCGTGGTAACATTAAAAAACGTGTCTTGAGTACTTGCATTTTTCCATTCCACTGCCCTTGTCTTGATGCCAAACCGCATTCTGTGAATGACCCCTTATACTCTCAGACTGCATTAACCCATATTCCCAGACCAAACAGAATTGCTCTTAGAATATACATCAAACTGAATCAGCCTTTCAGGCCCATTCATTATACATGACGCGTGATCCCACTGGGATCCCACCGAACACTTCACAGGAATGCCCACTTTGATTCACATGAGAGCCATTGTGATGGAAGAAAGCCATTTTCAGAAAGTGTTCCCCTCCTTTTATGAAATTCTTCTGTCGTTCTTTGTTCCTCCTCCCCCTTAAGTCATGTCATGTGGCCACAATGGAAGGTACAGTAGTGTGTGGCCCCTTTTACAGGCTGTGGCTTCTAATTTTCACCATCCAACAGTGCATTTGGCTGAGTGGATAGTAATGATGTCATTATGAAGCCCTGACATGGCGTGTGAGTTGTAGGTGTTGTACAACTCCATTCCCAGAGATTTAGCTTTAGTTTACAGCTGTCGAAAGAACCTACCCAGCGCTAATAAAGCCCTCGTCTTTCTGTGTTTACAGAATAAACATGCAGCGGAGTAAACAGATTGCTATGGGCCGCAAGAAATTTAACATGGATCCCAAAAAGGTAAACAAGCATTGGGGTGAGATGCATGAAACCTCTATTGAAATATTTTGAAGTTTTCTAAATCATAGAGATTACCTGATATGCTTTGACAAAGAAGATGATCTCCATTACATAAAAAGGCACTTCCATTTTGCATTTTTAAACCTTTGATCTTGTGTGAATGCACAAATTATCATAATCACACAAGTTTTGTCACCAAGCATTATGCAACCACACCATTTCCAATTCATTTCCATAGATCCAGCAGAATCCAAACTCATAGGCTAAAGTACAGAGAGAAGGAAAAGAGTAAAGGAAAGAGATTTTTAATGTACTTTACCAACAGGTAACTGCAATTATAATGCGTGCATGTAGGAAGTTCTTTATGTTGAATGTTTTTTTTGTTTTGTTTAGGGTATTCAGTTCCTTATAGAGAATGAATTGCTGAAGAACACTTGTGAAGATATTGCTCAATTCCTCTACAAGGGTGAGGGCCTCAACAAGACAGCCATCGGAGATTATCTGGGTGAAAGGTAAGAACAAGTACTTCTGCTGATGGTTTCTACACTGAAAAATGTTGCTGCTCCATAAAAACAGAGCTCCTGAAGTCTAGATATCTATGATATCTGGGGTCAGGAAGAAGAAAATTTTTTTTTAAAGGAATGAATACTTTTATTCAGCAAGGATGCATTAAATGTCCGTCACTTTTGATGCCTCGATCAAAAGTGAGGCATTTATAATGTTACAAAAGATTTCAATTTCAAATAAATACTGGCCTTTTGAACTTTCTATTTGTCAAAGAATCCTGAAAAAATCTATCACAGTTTTCAACATTGATAATATGACATGTTTCTTGAGCACCAAATAAGCATATCAGATTTCTGAAGGATCATGTGACACTGAAGACTGGAGTAATGATGCTGAAAATTCAGCTTTGCCATCACAGGAATAAATTAAATGTGTAATATATTAAAATAATAAACATATATATATATATATATAAATTGATTACTGTTTTTATTGTATTTTTGATCAAATAAATGAAGCCTTCTCACTGACCCCAAATTGTTTTTCGCAGTTGTCAGCAATCAAAAATTCAGATATAAAAGCGTACACACATTTATTGCTTTTTTTCCCCTTCTTTTTCAAACAAATTGATTGGTTGCTTTACATATTGGTCAGGTGGCCTCTTCCTGTGTAAGTTGGTGTTTCTTGACCAGGATAAGCTGCATTGTGAACCAGATGTTTAGTTAAAGTTCTGGCTATGCAAGACTACATGCAACCTACATGGCCTTAATAGACTGTCACGTTCTTTCAAACATAATTTACCATTGAGCGTAACTAGGTTAGTGGAAGTTAAACAGATTTTGGCTTTGTTTAGGTTCTGAATTTGATATATCTCTAATCGGAGCTCAAGGGAGGATGACATCACCGATCGTGAGCTGGTCCTCACTGACCGCAGTAGTCTGTCAAAGGCCTTTATCTACTGCATCAAGATGGCCTGTGCCCATATGAAAGTGCTGTTTTGCAGTAAGGGTCAGCTTACGCATTTATTGATGGACTGAAATTCAATGTCAGTGCCAGGCCATCAGGGACCTATCAGAGCAGGAAGGAAAGGTATATAGTTTGTGTGTGTCTGCATGGGGAGGATTATTTTCCTCTCTCAGTGTAATTATAGATATTCATGATTGCACTAAAATCTGAGGGGTAGTTCACCCAAAAATGAAAAATCTGCCATTTATTTACTCATCCTCATTTCATGAATAATATATTTAAAAATAAAAAAATTCTGGTCTGTACCTATACCAGTAAAATGTTGTGGTTTTCTCTACCAATTTCAGTACCAGAGCAAAAACTGTTGAATAAAAAAAAAAAAAAAATCTTGTCTGTTGGTTTTCACTGTCAATCATCGCAGTTTCCGATTCAGTCGTGCATTTAAATACGATTGTCAATCGAGAAACGTTGCAGTGTACTGAAAAATCTATACTTGTATTCAGATTGTGAATGGGTAATAAACAGAAAGCAAGAGAAGAGCCTCTCTATAATCACTGAATTCTGCACTCTCGCAAAAACTGCTGTTATCATAAAATAATTGTCTTAATTGCTTAATGAATCTCTTATTTACATCTCGTTTACACTGTTGGTTAAAATGGTGGATTCGCGAGCATTGAAGAAGGCTCTTGTTGAAGAAAACAAATCCTTGTGCATTTTCAGCGGTGTTAAGCAGATTCTGACTAACTTACTGACAAGCATCTCTGATAGGACATTGCGTTCACACGCTCAACGGATATGATTGTGATTGGCTACAATGCTCAACGCTTGTAAAAACACTGTAAATAGAAAGTTTTGATGCTCAGAGACCGCTCAAACACGAACGAGAGCGTTTAAAAGAAGCGTCAATCAGCGGGTACTGAATATACAGTACTCTGCACTACCGGTACTGCAGAAATGCTGGTACCGTCAACTCTTTTTTTTTTTTGACAACCCTAGGGTAAACTATTCTATAATTTGAGAGAAAATGTTTAAAACCTTTTGGTTTTTTGTACATAATCATCTGTCTTGTATGCTGTTTTAGCTCTCATTCCAATATTCTTTAATCAGTCAATAACACTATTTCTCTAAATGCACACTCGCATAAAAAGCAAACGCATTATTTTCTCTGTCACCTGAGGAAAATCAATGGTGAATCCCAGGATCATCTCTGAAGTGTGGTCACGGCAGTGCAGAGCAGGATGAAGGAGTGTAAGAGTATAGAGCTTAATGGACAGACCCCCAAAGTGGGTTAATGCATTCACAGCTCATTTATATTATCGACATGCCCCATTTCCTCATTGAAGAAAGGGCTAGTTACACACGGATGGTAATCCCAGCCGTAATCCCCCTGTGGGATTTAATGCCCATTGGGAGACGTCTGAGAGGAGGATCATAGCTGTTATTCCGTTCACACTGTGAACAATGCATGTTTTATAACACTAGACATGATTTTCAGTGGCACATCTGCTTTTTATCTGCCTTTTCTCCACAAATTTCTGTAATTAATTTAGCTCAAACGTCTCATGAAACTGATGGACAATATTCGTTTTCTGCCTTGTCTGCATTGGTATTTCCTGAAGGAGTCTTTTCTCCAGATTTCACTCTAACGTCATTGCTGTTGATCTAAGAATTAATCTCTTGTTGATTTCATTAATTTTAATCTTTTTTTCCAGGGATGAATTCAATATTCAGGTTCTTCATGCCTTTGTGGAGCTTCATGAATTTACAGACCTAAACCTGGTTCAGGCACTCAGGTGACAAAATATAGATCTGTAGATTATGCAGCAAATTTATTTGATATCCTCATGTTATTGTGATCTCATTAATTGAGTTTATTTCTTCCCATGCTCCATGCAGACAGTTCTTATGGAGTTTCCGGTTACCGGGTGAAGCTCAGAAAATTGATCGAATGATGGAGGCTTTTGCCCAGCGTTACTGTCAATGCAATCCTGGTGTCTTTCAATCCACAGGTGTGTGTGTGTGTGTGTGTGATAATCTGATTGCTTTGCTATAGGTTTTTAACAATATCCAAAATACCTGTGAGATTTCATAATTTTCAACACCAATGCAAAAATGATGCTTTGATGTTAATATGATGTTTTGTTTATATTATAATAATAATAATAATTAAATATTGGGTTGTAGCCTTCAAGTATTTCTCAATTAAACAAATCTCTTTAAATTCTTACAAGTTAAATTATTGGCGTAGTCATCATGAATAATAGATTTTTATCTTTTTTTCAACTATATAACAGATTGCAGAAAATGACTTATTTTTTTCTCAAAACTGCTTTTTACCCCAGAGTCCCTCTGTAATTTCCCTACACCCACACCCACTCACTTTTTAGGGCCTGTGAGAGGATTAGAAATGCAAGCAACATTTGGTCAAGCACTATTTGGACTAGGGATGAGTCGCGATCTTCGAATAGTCGAATAGTCGAACTGCGTTCGAAATTCGATCTTTAAATTGCTTATTCGAATATCCCTAATTTTGGACGCTAATTTTTTTTCAGCATGATGTCTGTTCAAGAACATTAGCATAACTCCTGCATTTGAATCATAATCAGAGTGGCCCAAATGTAGTGAATAAATTGATGTCCAGATTAAATATATCTCACACAAGCCTGGTGTTTGTCACAAATCAACAGCTGAGAAATATGTCCTGAGTGTTGGTAGAAAAAAAACTCAAATTCAAAAAATTGAATGCTGAGGTTTCACAATTTCCTTTGCAGATACATGTTATGTGCTTTCATTCGCAATCATCATGTTGAACACGAGTCTGCACAACCCTAATGTGAAGGACAAGCCGTCTGCAGATCGATTCTTTTGCATGAACAGAGGCATCAATGATGGAGGAGATCTGCCAGAAGACCTGCTCAGGGTCAGTGTCCCACACCCAAGTTTTTTTGTTGTTGTTGTTGTTGTTGTTGTGTTTTATAAATTTTAATATTATATAATTATTTTTCACTTTTAGGTTTTCATAATAATAATAAAAATAATAATAATAAGTATTACTATTATATTGTTGACTTATTTTATATATATACAGTACTGGTCAAAAGTTTGGAAACATTACTATTTTTGTATGTTTTTGAAAGACGTCTCTTGTGCTCACCAAAGCTACATTTATTTAAACAAAAATATTGTGAAATATCATTACTATTTTAAAATAATGCATTCCTTTTTTAATATACTTCAAAATATAATTTATCTCTCTGGTGTAAAGCTGAATTTTCATCAGCCATTACTCCAGTCTTCAGTGTCACATGATCCTTCAGAAATCATTCTGATTAATGGCTCATGAGAATTCAGCTTTGCATCACAGAAATAAATAATATTTCAAAGTATATTAAAATAGAAAACCATGATTTTGAATTGCAATAATATTTAACAATATTACTGTTTTTCTGTATTTTTGATCAAATACAGGCTTGATGAGCTTAAGAAATTTTTTAAACACACACACACACACACACACACACACACACACACACACATATATATATATATATATGTGTGTATGTATGTATATATTTATATATATATATATATGTGTGTATATATGTTTTAACATTTTATTTTAACTGCTTGTTTGACTGATCATTGACAGATTTAAGCCATTTATTTTTTCAATATTTTTTTGTTAAAATTTACGCTTGTAGTGCTGAAGTGTTTGAAGTACTAGAACTCAAATTAAACACTCCTGCAGAACCTGTACGAGAGCATTAAGAATGAGCCCTTCAAGATACCTGAAGACGACGGCAACGACCTCACACACACGTTCTTTAACCCAGACCGCGAGGGCTGGCTGCTAAAACTGGGTGAGTGAGTGTTTGTCTGTTCGGAAGATAAAGAAGTAAGTCTGAATGATACATGGCCCTTAACAGGCCCTATATACACCGCCTGGCCAAGAGTCTATGATTGTATCATTATTGCAGTGATTATTATGTTACAAGATCTACAAGACCAAAAATGTATGCACCTCTTGATAACATCAAAACATTTTATTTTTTTTCAAGTTCAAGTTTCAAAGTTCTTATATTGACAATGCAAGAGTCGAGCACTCTTCACAGAGCACAAAGTCTCCTCCAGCACATCCCAAAGACTTTCAATGAATTTAAGGTCTGGACTCAGAAGTGCCAATTCATGTGTGAAAATGATTCTTCATGCTCCTTCCCAACCGTTCTTTCATGAATCTGGACATTGTCATCCTGGAATATGGTCTTGATGTGTCTTTCTATATGGTTGTTTAAGAAATGAAAAGCTACACACTCCATCAATTAGGAATAGAGGAACTGTTGCCAAACATATAACATGCTAGACACATAATAATAACTGCAATGATGATCCAATCATGGACTCTTAATCATTTTTCTATTTAAATCTAAATTGAAATCTTTCTTTTTTTGGCCAGGCAGTGTATTTTTCCTCATGCCCCAGTGTCTCATGAACTTCAAAAGTAGATTTATTTTATTTAATCAGAGCTGTGAATTGAAAGTCTTCCATTGTGTAACGTAATAGCCAAGAAGCACGGGGACAAATGCTTTATATTCCAAAGCTAAACTAAAATAGCTGATGCAACCTCCTTATTTATCTGCATGCTGCTCATATTTCAGCTCAGCCTGGATTTTACACCAGGCTGACACACACAAGTATTTTATTACAGCCTTTTGTTGCGATATTTTTCAGATTTTCATGGTTAATTTCATTGTTTTCTTTCTTTCCACGTTTGTTGTGTTTCTTCAGGAGGTATGTACTGGTTTTCTTAGCTATGCTTCCAGGTGCTTTGCGCTTTCATTTACTCCTTTTGTTTGTCATTTTTTCATTTTATTTAAAGGAACACTCCGACTTTTTGGGACTTTAGCCTATTCACCTTATCCCCCAGAGTTAGATAAGTTCATACATACCTTTTTCATCTCCGTGCGTGCTATAAGTCTGTTTGACGCACCCACCGCTAGCCTAGCTTAGCACAAAGACTGGATGTAAATGGTTGCAGCTAGCATACTAATCCAAATAAGTGACAAAATAACGGAAACATTTTCCTATTTACATGTTGTGATTTGTATAGTCACAGAGTGTACAAAAAACAAAGTCACATGAGACACAGACATATTTTAAACAGTATAAATACTGGGAACTATATTCTCTGAAGGCGAAGCACTGCTACTTGGGCGGAGTGATAACCGCAGCACCTGAGACGCGCTCTCTGCTCCTCACCACGGCACGTCTCAGGTGCTGCGGTTATCACTCCGCCCAAGTAGCAGTGCTTCGCCTTCAGAGAATATAGTTCCCAGTATTTATACTGTTTAAAATATGTCTGTGTCTCATGTGACTTTGTTTTTTGTACACTCTGTGACTATACAAATCACAACATGTAAATAGGAAAATGTTTCCGTTATTTTGTCACTTATTTGGATTAGTATGCTAGCTGCAACCATTTACATCCAGTCTTTGTGCTAAGCTAGGCTAGCGGTGGGTGCGTCAAACAGACTTATAGCACGCACGGAGATGAAAAAGGTATGTATTGACTTATCTAACTCTGGGGGATAAGGTGAATAGGCTAAAGTCCCAAAAAGTCGGAGTGTTCCTTTAACAGATATTTCATTTCATCAAAATGAAATTTGCCTCATTTGAGTTTAAACTGGTGTGGTGTCGCTGCGCTGTTGTGCCGTGCTCACGATGGGCTTGTGATGTTCGTGAGACTCTCAGCCAGCTTTCTCCATCTTCTTGGAGATCAACTTGTCTGTTAAACATCTAAACTGTCTATTGGTCTCTACTGCGCACATGTGGTCAGTTGAAGAACTGCCTGCTCTGCAGTCGTACATGCTGATGTGTGAATGCTACATGCTGCATACACTTACAAGAAATAGATGTGTGACTGTGTGTTTGCCTACAACAGAGAAAGCACAGGAATTATAGGAGATGATTTACAGCTGATATATGTGCAGTTTATAATTGAGACTTGCATTCATTCCTACATTTTATTACATACTCTCTTACTAATTTGGTCACTAACACCTTAAGCTTGTGCCTGATTCAGTGGTTTTGGGCTAACTGTGTATTTTTGATGAGGCCATTTCAGCTGTCCATCTGCTAATGTGAGTTCCCATACATGTGTCTGTCTGCTGTGCCTCAGTCGTCACCTCGCCATGTGTCTCTGCTGCTCACCACAATTATTCTTTACTCATACAGACCTCAGCGACGGGATTCTTATTATACTGTCTGATCCACAGGTGGACGGGTGAAGACGTGGAAAAGGAGATGGTTCATCTTGACAGACAACTGTCTGTATTATTTTGAATACACCACTGTACGTAAACCTGCTTCAGTGAAGTTAAATGACTGAATGATCCAGTGGTAATATAACTCATCCGTTGTGCTCTACTGTGGTCACATGTGTTTCCTCTTCTGCCTCTGTTTTCAGGATAAAGAGCCAAGAGGGATCATTCCTCTGGAAAATCTCAGTATTAGGGAAGTGGATGACTCCAAGAAGCCAGTAAGCTTTCTCTCGCTTTTCCATCTATTTTGCAAGTTCTCCCAATTAGAAATCATGGAGGGGTCTGAAATTGTCATCGTAGGTGCATGTCCACTGTGAGAGACATAATCTAAAAAAAATATCCAATAATCACAATATATGATTTTTTAACTATTTATTTGTATGATACAGCTGCAAATAAGTATTTGAACACCTGTCTATCAGCTAGAATTCTGACCCTCAAAGACCTGTCTAGTCTGCCTTTAAAATGTCCACCTCCACTCCATTTATTATCCTAAATTAGATGCACCCGTTTGAGGTCGTTAGCTGCATAAAGACAGCTGTCCACCCCATACAATCAGTAAGAATCCAACTACAAAGGCTGCGTTTACACTTGGCATTAACATGCGACCTGTATCTGGATGTTGTCCACATACACATTGAAAAGACAAGTGTAAACGCACATCTGATCGGAATGTTATCCGATCAGCGTGTCCCGGTTCGGAGGTAGTCGAGGACGCATTGTGATCGGATCTCAGTGTAATGTAAACGCAATCCAGCCATCGTGTCTGCATTCACAGGTGAACGTAATTTAAATCCCCGCCCAGTCTCCCCGCGTGACTGTCAGAAAGTAATGGCCAGACGCAGTTTAGACACGAAATTAAACTTATTTGAACAATAAACGTCAATCTTTAAAACAGTTTATTTATGCGTCATTTTTCGTTTTAATTGTGCAACATTACCTGAACGAGGCGATCGCCTGTACACTCACAGTCAGTCATGAGATCTTAATGAAGAGCTGCACTTGCCAGAGGAATAATCGGAATCTGAATTTTTTTAATGTTTTAAATGTTGAATGTTTTTATTGTTTCAGCATGTTTATCAATCTCCCATTTCTGTCAATATAGTCATTGCACGCAACCTTAAACCCAGATGATCGATGATGTGACTTGTTTAACATGATCAACCCAGTTATTTTTGTAAGATCAACTCTGGAAGTATTCCTTCTTTCAAAAAATATAATTTGATCTAATTAATGGAGATTGCATATGAAAGTAAAGTGAGTGAGTGAAAGCAATTGGGATGTTGTTTAATTTGTATCATCTTTACTATTAATCTGGTGTCGTGCCACAGACCTGATTTAAATATTATGCGGGAAACAGAAATCCGATCGGTTATCCAGATACAGAGGCTGCTTAATGTGAACAAATATAAACGCACCATGTCCTGATTGGCTAATGATCCGATCTGCTTGATCGGATCACGGTGATCGCATGTTAATGCCATGTGTAAACGCAGCCTAACATGGCCAAGACCAAAGAGCTGTCCAAAGACACTAGAGACAAAATTGTACACCTCCACAAGGCTGGAAAGGGCTACGTGGAAATTGCCAAGCAGCTTGGTGAAAAAAGGTCCACTGTTGGAGCAATCATTAGAAAATGGAAGAAGCTAAACATGACTGTCAATCTCCCTCGGACTGGGGCTCCATGCAAGATCTCACCTCGTGGGGTCTCAATGATCCTAAGAAAGGTGAGAAATTAGCCGAGAACTACACGGGAGGAGCTGGTCAATGACCTGAAAAGAGCTGGGACCACCGTTTCCAAGGTTACTGTTGGTAATACACTAAGACGTCATGGTTTGAAATCATGCATGGCACGGAAGGTTCCCCTGCTTAAACCAGCACATGTCAAGTCCCGTCTTAAGTTTGCCAATGACCATTTGGATGATCCAGAGGAGTCATGGGAGAAAGTCATGTGGTCAGATGAGACCAAAATAGAACTTTTTGGTCATAATTCCACTGGAGGAAGAAGAATGATGAGTACCATCCCAAGAACACCATCCCTACTGTGAAGCATGGGGGTGGTGGCATCATGCTTTGGGGGTGTTTTTCTGCACATGGGACAGGGCGACTGCACTGTATTAAGGAGAGGATGACCGGGGCCATGTATTGCGAGATTTTGGGGAAGAACCTCCTTCCCTCAGTTAGAGCATTGAAGATGGGTCGAGGCTGGGTCTTCCAACATGACAATGACCCGAAGCACACAGCCAGGATAACCAAGGAGTGGCTCTGTAAGTAGCATATCAAGGTTCTGGCGTGGCCTAGCCAGTCTCCAGACCTAAACCCAATAGAGAATCTTTGGAGGGAGCTCAAACTCCGTGTTTCTCAGCGACAGCCCAGAAACCTGGCTGATCTAGAGAAGATCTGTGTGGAGGAGTGGGCCAAAATCCCTCCTGCAGTGTGTGCAAACCTGGTGAAAAACTACAGGAAACGTTTGACCTCTGTAATTGCAAACAAAGGCTAATGTACCAAATATTAACATTGATTTTCTCAGGTGTTCAAATACTTATTTGCAGCTGTATCATACAAATAAATAGTTAAAAAATCATACATTGTGATTTCTGGATTTTTTTTTTTTTTTAGATTATGTCTCTCACAGTGGACATGCACCTACGATGACAATTTCAGACCCCTCCATGATTTCTAAGTGGGAGAACTTGCAAAATAGCAGGGTGTTCAAATACTTATTTTCCTCACTGTATATATATATATATATATATATATATATATATATATATATATATATATATATATATATATATATATATATATATATATATGTGTGTGTGTTTAAAAAAAAAAAATGTATTATTATTAAAAGATATTTGTATTTTATTTTTTTAATGTTGGCACTGTTGTTCCTTTTCCTCCTTGCATCCCCTTGTGGGCCTTGGAGCTCTATCTAGATGATTTTGAAAATGTGGGTGGTTGTAATTAGCACAAAGGTTACGGGTTGCTAAAGTCACTCTCATACACTGGCACCACTGTTCTCGTAACCTCGGTTTGCTCCAGTAAAATATAAAAGCTTCTTCTAAAGTATCTCTCTACACACAGAACTGCTTTGAACTCTTCATCCCAGACAACAAGGATCAGGTCATCAAAGCATGCAAGACTGAAGCAGATGGACGGGTTGTGGAAGGAAACCACACTTTCTACCGCATCTCAGCGCCAACAACAGAGGAGAAAGAAGAGTGGATTAAAAGCATCAAGTAAGTTCTCCTCTCATTTTGCTCTGACAGCATTTTTAATATGCACAGGGTTATTTTTTTTTACTATATAAAACGCATTGCTGTCCATTAATGTCAGATACTTCAGCTGAATCTATTGATTGATTTTTAATGCACCGATAATGAACATCAAATACAAAAGATACACTGTCTAAACCTAAACTTAAAATCATTTTCGTTATTTGAAGTAAAGCTGAAATAAAATAAGATATATTAGATATATTATAATAAGATATATTATATATATATTATATAATAAGATGTATAACAAGATAAATATTAGATGAAAAATCAGAATAAATTTTTTGAACTAATCTAAATAAAACAAATTTGTTGAAGTACTAACATTACTAAAACTGAACAAAAAATACAGCTAAATATAAAAAACTGAAATAAAAATACAGCTCAATAGAAACATTAAAAAAATTAAATGAAAAGCTAAAAAAAAGTATTTAAAACAACAAACAAAAATCACAAAACTTGATGTGATGTAATAGCAAAAATAGTTTGTAATGGTGGAAATTTCTTAGATCGCTCAGTAGTGAGCAGGCTATCTTTCTCATTCTCTCCAGGGCTGCCATAAGCAGGGACCCTTTCTATGAGATGCTTGCTGCCAGGAAGAAGAAAGCCTCATCTTTGAAGAGACAGTAGAACCGCTCAAGTCTGCATGGATGGATCTCCGCTTCAAGGCCGCAAAGAGGATGTTTAGACATGGACCTGGAAAAGGGGCGAATGATAAACGGAAGCCATAACGCTGGATTGGAGCGATTTTTATCTCAGGAATGACCTTGAGTTTTGAAGGTTGTCAGTGCAGTTGGCTTTCTTGGAGGTTGTCTGACATTTATACGTTTAATTCTCATGAACGAACATTATCGTGCACTCACGTACATTATCATCTCAAATCAGCAGGTCTGACTGAATGTGGCGTCTTATTGACCTTTTCTAAGCTTGCTGAAGACAAGACCGTTCTTTTCTGTGCTTTGATACATATAAAATGCTAATTGTGCACCTATTTTTACACTGCTATGTACTGTAAGTATCTGGGAGGGTTTTGGCCTTGTTTTGTTTGAGACTATCTTACTGGTTTTCTAATCATTTCTGATCTGCTGTCATATTTATCATTTTTTTGTTGGCTAGAAATTTTTTCACATTTTGCCAAAGTTTGTCTTTCAGTCCTACTCCATGTAATACTTTCCTAAAACCTGAAGTTGAGTGCTTCTGATTCATGAACATGAAATGAAAATATATTTTTATTTTGATGCTGTTTATTTAGCGTAAACAGTTTTATTTAAAATATCAGGACATTTCCATTGTTCACTGATCTCATAGGTGGCCTTGAACGACTGTGAAATCCAAAAACATTTCAGTAAGTTTGGTTCATGTTTATGGAACAATGTCAAAAATTAAACTACTGACATGAGAGTTTATTTTTTACTATGTTTTGTATTTTACCACATTAAATGTATTGGTTAAATTAACTCATGAAGACCCCCCCCCCCAAAAAGAAACACTTTTTTTTCCTTTGCTTTATATGCATTGTTAATTGAGAGAAAACTCTTATGCTAATTTATCAATGATGTAAATATTTAAACATATAGGTTGTTTAATTTTTTATTGTCAAAATATACTTTGTGCTAAAGTAAACAGGGTGACGAAAAGGTTTAAACCTGTCAAAGTTTATTTCACCATTGCTATGTAACCTGTGCTTACAATAAAAAAAAGTTTGAGCTTTACAAATAACTTTAAAATTTGATTTCATAAATTATTTTTATTTCTCGACTCGATGCCTTTAATTTGTGTGGTTTCTTAATGGGGTACTTCACCGCTGGCAAAATCCCATGGGCAAAATGGGCTTTCAATAAAACTTGGCTGCTTATGCAGTAGAAAGGTTTATTTATTTTTCGAAATCTGTGCTACCTGATTAAAGAAAACAGAAAAAAGGCTGCTGTCTTCCCTTTTGCCAAATGGTAGGAAAACTTCCAACACCCATAATGCACCCAGGAGTCAAATTAATACCACTTGCTTTAGTAGGAAATACTTCTTAGCAAATTCTGTCATAATGGTGTCGACTGGTTCCCGGTCTCAAGAATTCAGAGTAAACTTTCAGCGGGAATGAGTTAGTTTTGGTTCCCAGTGAAGGATCCAGCACGTTGTAGTAGAAATACTTACAACGTGGCTAAAGGCTACAGAGAATTGTAAATATGGAGAGAACACCGCTACAGAAAATCTGAAAAACGTGTAGTCAACATTTCACACTGGATGACTACAAACACAGTTTTAAGCCAAACGGACAGGAAACGCTGAAAGGAAGGGCCGTTTGCACGAATAAAGCCCTGAAGGCTGGAGCTGTCAAATGTTTTGCTGACAAACGTGAATTTCTCCGTCCAGGTAACACGGAGAACGAGTCAACGTTGTTCATTTACATATAGACAATGTTGATTTTTCAACCCGGTTTATATCTTTACAAAGCTACACTTAAAGAAACTTAGAAATAAATTATACAATTATCGGTATTAAGGACATTTACTAAAAACAAATGACTTAATTTGAACAACCAGGAAAAATGAGACCAAAAATAAAGGTCACGTATCTGTATTTCACATCAAATAACTTACTCAGCCATGACTGTATAAGCCTTTTATTCTTAAAAACAATTTATACAATGACAAAAAACACTGTTCCTTCATATGGTACAGAATGTTTTTGTCCATTTTGTAAGTTGTGCGTTGGATGATGTGGCTTTAAGGCCTCATCTTACTCAGGTAGCATCTGTCTGCAAGAGAAACAAGCTTTTAAACAGTACCGTTTCCATCTATGTTAGTCGCTCCCAAACACCAGCAAAAATGACATTTAAATCCAGTGAAGTATAACAATAAAAAAAAAAGACAAAAATCATCTGGTCTCAATGTTAAATAACCTAACAAGCAAACGCTCTTCCTCCATGCACACTGGAACCAAAATCCAAACAACTTCGCAAACCGACTCTGTTGTTTAAATAAAACTGCAATATTCCCTTGTCATGAAAATGCTACAAATTAATTCAAAGGTACTCAAATCCATCCCATGCTTAATGTGTAAAGGTTTGTGTAAACCTTAAAGCCTGGTCAGGATTTCAAAGCTCTCCTAAGACCTCTTCTGTACTAATTATTAATGGAAGTCATATTCTCAGTTTCAGTAATCATGTATAACTAGTGAGCATTGGAGTATTAAACGGACAGTTCACCTAAAAATGAACATTCAGATACTCGCACCTCATGTCATTTTAAACCTGAATGACTTCCTTGAGTGGAATACTAAAATCTCTCTCAATACATCAATAGTGAATGTTGTCCTTTTGAGTCCCAAGAAATAAAATTCATGCAGGTTTGGAAAAAGACTAAATTAAATAATTTTTAAATTGAAGGCACTCAGCCTTGATGGTTCAGACAGTGGATGTTTTTTGTTTAAAAAAGATTGAGAAATATGGATATTTTCAGCTGAGGTAACTAAGGGTTGCTGAAACGTGCACGACTCAAACTGCATCACTTTGCATTCCCGAGATTAACTTATTGACCTTATTAATGAAATCAATATTAATGAACTGCTTCTGCCATTTTCAACCAAAATAATGTAGTAAAAAATAAAGTACAATGGAAAGAAATCAGAAATGGAAAGGTTTTTTTGTTAAACAGCATCTTATTAAAGTGACAAAATAATACAAATGGTTTACAGAAAAAAATTTAAATTAACTAAAATATGTACATAAATGTTAGATGCACATCAAACTGATGGCCAAACGTTCATATCTGCCATGTTGCTTACAGATACATATCCATCATACCCGCAGTAAATTCTTTGTTCTGGTTTTACATGCATTTTCTCCAAACAATGAGGTTGTTAGATCAGAATGAATGTTATTAAATATAATAGCACAGAGCTGATTAGTTGACTGGTCATCATTGGGACGCTGGCTGAGGCCCACAATGCCAGTCATCTTCAAAACCATCAGCATAACCATCGATATTTGCAAATGCCTCGTGTACAAATCACAGATATGTGTTCCCACCTCCATCTGAAAAATAAATAAAAATGCAGTTTATTCCTGTGATGACAGCTGAATTTTCGGCAGCCATTACTTAATATATTTTTTGGAAACCATGATTTTTTTTCCCATGTATGTAAAGGTATTGATTTCTTAAAAAAAAAAATAATAATAATCTTACTGACCCCGAACTTTTGAACAGTAGTGTGCATGAAAACCTACATAATGCTACAAGTAAAAAATTAGATTTTTACATTCTCTAAATAATTTCAATAAGCTGCACAATTTGAGGTATCATTCATGTCAGTAGCACAGGTTAGTACTCAGTATAAGTAGTAATAGTGATGTTTACCTTGAAAAACAACTATTTAAAAAAAAACATTTCACTGTTTTAAGCGTAATGTACTTGAATAATCACTAGAGGGCAGAACTACTGTACAGAGGAAAGGAAATGATCAAACACAGACGAACCTGCTTATTGAACTTCAAACCATATTACATTAAGTCTAATGTAAAGTCTAATAACTTTATTTTGAGATAGAAGATTGAAGTTCATTGTATTCTAAGTGACTGGAATTTTTGAAAGTTCATTTCTCCAGAAGTGTGACAATCACCAACTATGAAAAATTCAAAACAGATTGTAGAGGAATTCTTCCTGGAAAGTGACACCTGCACTTTTCTGAAGTGATTTCGAAATAAAATCTCCAGAATTCTGTAGAATGGATTTCAACATGACCAAGAATACTAGAGTGGCCCCTCAAAGTATTTGGACAATTAAGTCAGACTGTGAAATGTCTAAATGTCATTTACATTAACATTTATGCATTTAGCAGACCTTACAAAAGAGCATTAAACAACAAAATACCAACACAACAGATATCCATTCAAAGAAAAGGACAGCGTTCAAGTTTTAAATGATAAACAATTGATATAGCATTGAAAAGGAGGACAAAAGGTATGCGGATATTTTTTGGTTCATGAACTACAAGGACACCTGTGTGAACCTGACTTCATTCATCCATTAAAAATCCCCTTTAAGGCCCATTCACACCAAGAACAATTACCAAAAAAAAAAAAAAAAACCTATAACTAACTATATTGCTATATTATTTTTTAAAAAAAAGGATCAAATTAGCATAAATGTTTAATTAAACATACAGAAAGGAACAACTCTGCTGTGCTTTCTGCATGCTAGAGGTCTTTCAACTTTGTTTAATTTTTCATATTTACTTAGACAGCCTCATTTTGTTAATACCAGAGGCTCAAAGGGGGGGAAACAATCTTAAATCCTGACATTTAGCAAGTGAGATAGAGCATGTTTGCAATCAAATGGAGGAAAGAGCAGGAATGGTACAGCACGCAGGAAAAACAGCCGTAACGGCCTCCAGATGTTGGCGACGGAGGGCTCGCGGAGGTCAATGCCAGTGCAGCTGAAGTCTGCTGAGCAGCCTGTGCCTGACAGCACTGGAACGACCAGAATCATGCTGTGGTCTGGCCATGCTAGCTCCACGCTGGGCTGTGTGACGAGGATTTGGGTTGAAGGAACCACTGGAGTGACAATGTACATTCTTAAGAACCCACTGTCTGGCAGGCCGAGGTTTTGTATATCCATCTTCGGGGAAAGTCTGACTATACTGAGCGCAAGAGAGCCAAGTCATTTGTTTGGAAGCGGAATAAAATGCTGAATGCTGTTTTTGTTTGCTTTTAAGGCAACTACCTTCATAGCATTTCATGCGAATGGCTCATTTATGCTTCAACATAATGAAATGCACACAATACCCGATACCACCAACCCGTCCCTGCTGGAAATCTGGCTTGAGATGGTAACTAACTGCTTTAACTCAACATGAATTACCATTTGCAACCCATATTACTTCAGTATTGTCACATATTTGCAAATAAAACAGGATAATCAATAAAATAACAGGGTTGGACTTGATTTTAGATCAGAATGGTGCCAAGCAGAATTTGAGTTTTCTAAAACTGTAAAACACTACAATTAGGTTTTATTTGTTAACATTAGTTAACGAATACATTTTTTGATCTGCACTCAAATTTTAAAAACCTTTTAGTCACTTTATTTCACATTTTTCACATGGGAATAATACAACAGATGTTTCGACTCCCAGGCCGCCTTCAGTGTGTTGAATGCTCTGATTGATGTCATCAAAATTGGTCAATGTTAAAAATCACTCACTTAATTAAATGTTCAACAGCAATTATCCTCATATAATATGATCTTGTTAAACGCACACACCAATAATTTTCATGAAGCACAAGACAATTTTACACTAAGCACAATAATCAAACAAATTAACCAATTAGACAACTTAAAAATCCTTAAACATCAATCCAGGTAACCACATCAAATACATAGCAGTGAAAGACCTAATGATTGAAGTCATCAGAAAAACATCGTCATTATTCAACACTGATCTTTACACTTAAAATATTTTATTTATTATATGACATTTGTAAAAAATCATGTAGTAATCTAGATATCTCATATATCAACAACTCATCTCATTTTAGGAAAACAGAAAAATCTAATTCTTCATTCATGCTGTTAGGAGCCAGTGATTTCAATTAATAAATCCAAAATGCTTCTCGCTTTATTTATATAATCTCCTCTACATGATCCTATTAATTCCTCTATCCCAATACATTCCACCATAGAGGTGGTGATATATGTATTTCTGATGACTTCAATCATTAGGTCTTTCACTGCTATGTATTTGATGTGGTTACCTGGATTGATGTATAAGGATTTTTAATTGGTCTAATTGGTTAATTTTTATTATTATTATTGTGCTTAGTGTAAAATTGTCTTGTGCTTCATGAAAATTATTGGTGTGTGCGTTTAATCATATTATATGAGGATAATTGCTGTTGAACATTCAATTAAGTGAGTGATTTTTAACATTGACCAATTTTGATGACATCAATATAACTGTTTAATAGTTGTTGGAGGGATCAGAGCATTCAACACACTGAAGAAGGCCTGGGAGTCGAAACATCTGTTTTATTATTCCCATGTGAAAAATGTGAAATAAAGTGACAAAGGATTTCTAATTTTGAGTGCAGATCACAACTGTATTCTTGAAGTAATTAAATAGATTTACGAACCAAAACAGGATAAATTTTAACATTTAATAATATATTTTTGCACCGGTTAACATGCAGAAAGATAGCATGAGCAATAAACAATTGTTTTTATTTTTCACTTACTAAAAAAGATGCTTTAAAAATAAATGTTATTAGGTGTTTGGTTCAAGCAATTCCATTACATTTGCGATGAAACAGAAATGGCGATGGACCTTTTCTTCCATATTGTGATGTGCATCTGAAAGTAACAGACTTTTGAAAAATAAAAAGTGTAGACTAGGGACTTGGTTCTATGTTGATTATATGTTGAGATTTGGGCGTTGCACTCAGAAATGATGAACAGGACGGGGTTTAATCAGATCCTGTCCTGAATACGGCACAAGAGAGAAGTCACCGGAAGGTCCAGTTATGATATTTTGATTAAACATTACGAAAATGTTTTTTTGGGAATAACAGCCCCCAATAAATCGATCACAATGAGACGAGGAACACGTATTAAGATAGTAAATAGGGTTCATTCTGACTTTAAAGTGGTCAAGATGGTTTTTGGAACATGGTCACTGCTAGACCAGCTAATAACCAGCCTGGTTCAACTAATAACCAGCTTGGACCAGATAATAACCAGCTTGGCCTGGCTAATAACCGGCTTCCATGTTCCAAACCGCAGCTACCATCTTAAGATGGATTTTCCAGAAGGAATTACTCATGTCTGAAACTAAAACTAACACTTCAAGATGCCTGATCTTCTACAGCAAAGGATGAAAAGGTACGATAGCAACAAACCTGTCATAGACAGTGAGATATCGATCACCTCAGGCCTGTTGAACTCAGAAGAAGTTCTTGATGAGGGGAGTAACAAGTTTCACCCACAACTTTACATGGCGGTCCGGCTGATTAAATGTGGAGTTTGACACTTGTGTTGAGCTCTGGTATAACTCCTCCTGCTCCTGGACAAGACAGAAAACAAGATTTCACGTAAACCATCTTTTTTTTTATTATCTCACTATCTTCAAGTGTTATGTCATCTCAGTGTTTTTCTCGTAAAGAAAACTATATAACTGATTTTAACTGATCACTTACAACCGGATAAGTGAAGATTACAGGAAACTTAGTTTACAGTCTATAAAAACTGATGGCACTCCCAATTAAGCAGTTGCTATTATAGCCTCTGTTCCCAATATAGATTAATGGTTCCTTTATATGCAATTCAGTTTGAGATTGGAAAGATAATATGACTGCATTGCTCTCTGGTACAAAAAAAAAGATGTAGTGTTACAGAAAATCACAGTATTGAAATCAGGCAATACTGAATTAATTTATCATATGGTGCCTATCAAAGACTCATAGATATCATTGAATGTTGACCAATTTTTTGTTTCTTTATATGATATCTATATTTTTTTCATGATATTTCCAGTAAACCCTTACAAAAACGGATGAGCCAAAGATATCATAGATAGTACCAACAGCTGTTAAACATCCCGACACAAGATTTATGGGTTATATGACCCCAGTACCCTAAGAAACGGTGCCGTAGAGAAAGCCCAACCTGTTGCAGTTGCATCTGGAGTTCCTCATTCTCTGTTACTATGGCGATCTGAGCCTCAAGATCCCTGTGCACAGAGCGATAGCCGAAATTTGGGGAGCCAATAAGAGTGAGGCAGGGGTGGTCTCTTCCTCCCACATAGTACCACAGACCTGTGAAGAGTGAAAAAAATGACCAGAAATTTAATTTACCAGACCAGTAATGATGATAAGTGCTTTAAATAACGTTTCATTTCACTGAAGAATTGTTTACAATGACTCACTCTACTCTAAAAATATAGTAAGTACCCTCACTTTCACAATTATACATTTGTCAGATGCCTCAAAGCAGCTTACAGTGTTTAGTTTTTTACAGTGTTTTTTTTTAGTATTTGTTTCCTATCACATGAGCTTAAAAAGCATATTTAATTTCCACAGCCAACAATGCACAACTCACCTAAAAGAAAAAAAACAAAGTTGTTAAGCTATGTACAGTACACAGACGTGTGTTCTATTAATAGGCAGCAGGCTTTGCTTGCCACTTCAAACACCTGCCAATGAATGGAAGTTGAATATCAGGTAACACAACTGCCGGGAATACTATACAATTCATTCCTGAGGACTTCCTTATGGACACATGCAACAACAATTAGCCTTTATGTGCGGCTATACTATGTCCTAATACAAGCAAACACAATGCAAAACAGTTTTTTCTTCGTCACATCATGGCCTTGGGTATTTCAATTATAAACCACTTGTTTGGGTTTAAAAAAAAAAAAAAAAAAAAACTACTTTTATTCAGCAATGATGCACTAAATGGATCAAAAATGATCAAGACTTTGAGACTGTTACAAAATTGCTGTTCTTTTTAACTTTCTATTTATCAAAACAATTAAGCAGCACAACTGTTTGCAACATTGATAATAATCAACTATCAGACAATAATCTCTGAGGGATCATGTGACACTGAAGACTGGAGTAATGATACAAAAAATTCAGCTTTGCCTTTACATGAATAAACTACATTTTAAAATCTATTAAAATAAAATCTAACATTTAAAATGATAATATTTCACAGTTGAAAAATGACCAAATTTGATCAAATGCAGCCTTGGTGAGCATAAGAGAATTTATTTTGTTCAAAAACATTAAAACACATCTAACTAATACTAACTCCAAACTTCTGAATGGTAGTGTAATGGGTCCGATCAAGTTTTGAACACTTTACTTGGGATGGAGATTATCCCAGCCTCTGACTCTGCTAATGGATAATATTGGAAAAAGGGGTTCTACTAATCATTTCAAATGCACTAGCACTTTAAGAACACTAAATTTGATTCTAACTTAACTTCTGAAAAATACATTTATTTATTTACTTGATAATTGTTATGAAATGTATGGTGTTGATAACTTTCATGCCTGGATATGCATTAATAACCGTCCTTTTCATATACGAAGTTCTTAAAAGAAAGTTCCTAAGCTCTTTGAACGTTGAACTTGAATTCATCTCAACGGGCGTTTTTGCCACATGACCCCACTAGAAGTAAACATCCTACTTGCTAGTTGCTACCACTTTTAAATGACTGCCAAAGTGCCAATGGAATAACAGGCTTTTTGGAGACAGAATTGTGTAGTTACGGCATGACACGCAGTTATGAAACTGTTGGTGAATGGTTTAACAGAGTCCACCTGACTGTCTCTTTCCTGAGGTGCGCGGCCAGCGTCAGAATGGCAGCTAATGTTCATTGATTCTCTTTGTAGCTCAGCTGGAGGGACCTCTGCACCCTTCTGTTCCCACTTCAGCTCCACTGTTTACAAGAAATGACGGCATGACAAGGCTTTATCTAATAAGCCAGACTTCTCAACAGGAGCATGAAATTGAATTCCACTGACGCTGCTCAGGTTTGTCACGCATCTATTTTTCCCCAGACAGCACCCATTTTATTCTGTCCCTTCAGGTCAGGGGCCTTTATTAAAGTGTATGAGGAGACTCAGTTAATGCCATATGAATAATCACATCAAATTTAGAATGAAATCATGCATTTTTAAACCAAACCAATAACCACTCCAAGTTACAAACACAACAGCAGGTTGAAAAATAACATTGTGGCGATTAAGTTGCTTTTGGCTCGATTTGATTTGTCTTAAAAACATGCTGAAACCGTAAATAGCTGAAATAGCTTGACATTCAACAGCCAAAACAAAACGTGGCCAAAGCGTACCTCTGCTTTACAGAGAAAACATCACATGTGTCTGGCAGCCTCTGTGTCCTGAAGCTGTCCAGGAAGAACTCTGAGGCTATTCAATCAGAGGTGCTGGGAAACCTGCTCTGCACATTAAATTATGAGCTTTCCTGTTACACCCAAGTTTTGGGAACTGGGCTGATCCACCTCAGTTCTGAGAAGAAGAAAAAAGTTCAGAAAATAAACACCTACCTTTAGCATGAAATGTCCAATCGGGGCGATGGTATTCATGCAAGTGGACACGGCTCTGCTGACCCAGCTGACACACCTGAAATGGACAGAATGCTGAATGTTTCACTTTTAAAACCAACAATGAAAAAAAAAAAGATTATAAAACATTAGCAGAAAAGCACCACTCAAACCCTGCTAATTGAGTGCAATTTGTAGCTGCAGCACATCTATAGAACAAGCTACAATAATAAACTGCAAAATTAGGGGTGGGCAACAAAGAAAAAATCATAACCATGTTGAATAACTTTATATCAGTTTGTATGCATTAATTGATCAAAAGTAACAGTTAATTTTAAATAAATGCTGAGAAAATAAATGCAAAGAATTAAAAATAAAAAATATTAAGCAGCACAACTGTTTTCAACATTGCTAATAATAATAAAAAAATATTCTTGAGCAAATCAGCATCATATTAGAATGATTTCTGAAGGATCATGTGACACTGAAGGTTGGAGTAATGATGGTGAAAATTCAGCTTTGCCATCAAAGGAATAAAATACTTTTTTTTTAATTTTAATAATATTACAATATTACTGTTTTTGATCAAATAAATACAGCTTTAAAAAAAAGTGTAATACAAATCATAAGATTATTAAAAATAAATAAAAATAATGAGGTCTGGCATGAGGCAAAAACAGTTTTTAAAATTTCAAATTGTAATAAATATTATAAAATAGCCAATATATTAGCCTATACGTGACAGTAAGTTCACAATTCAGTTGAACTCTATACTAATGCAGCACCAAATAGTGATGCTGCTGCTTGGCACCGAAAACAACCTATAGTAACATGATTGTATCCTGTCCACACTGGACGCGGGCGGCATGACTTGACAAAACTAAATTGCACCTTATATAAAAAACAGAGCTGTCTACACTGAAGCGTTTATCTCTACCGACACAGGTAAATACACGTCATGCTGCCCAGCCCTATGGCAAACTAAAGAAATGCACACCTTATTGTAGAACTGTCGGGCGAGATGAACGTAGGCCTCAGGAATTGCTCCTGCTACTCCTTTGGCTCCAAAAAAGCCATTAACCTCGGGGGAGGCCATGAGGATTCGGTAGTCTCCTGCTGCACCCAGCACCAGCTGCATGTAGGTGCGCGTCAGGTTGAAGTAACCCGATGTCAGGTAGATGACAGAGTCTCCACCAGCCTCTATGAGCAGTTGTTTGGTTATTTGTTCATCCAAGTAAATGCCCAGAGGCTTCATTTGCATGAGTGGAAAGATCCAGGTATCATTTGGCACCATCCCATCTGAATCAGGAACCTCTGGGCATTCAGTCTCCAGCATGCTCTGTCGGACACGGGCCGTAGTCACCACCTCCATGATCCGTTTCTGTGCTGATGCAGAAAAATCTGCTCTGTTACCTATAAAACCACAAGACAGACTTCTTCTGAGAACACTCAAATCGGTTGAAATGCTAATAAATATTGGATACATTTAGGCTGCATTCCAAAACCTATATAAGCCTAAGTCTATATAAGCAGCATTTTAAGCACAGGGACACAAAAGCTGTTATAAAACATTGGTTGTGGAAAAATTATAAATGTCACATCACTTGACATTCAAAACGGCATGATAAAAAGTTGATTATAACCATATTTCCTTCACTACTGACAAACACTGAGAAAAATAGATTGACAAAGACACATTTGCATATTTGTATCTGACAATTGTGTGTACCATGTATTTCTTGCTTATTTCACTACTTTTCAAAAGTTGAGTGTCTGTAAGATTTTAAAAATGTTTTTGAAGAAAGTCTCTCATGCTCACCAAGGCTCCATTTATTTGAACAACAATACAGTAAAAACAGTGATATTATAAAATATTATTACAGTTTAAAATAACTGGTTTCTATTTTAATATGTTTTAAAATGTACTTATTCCTGTGATGGAAAAGCAGAATTTTCAGCATAATTACAGTTATGCAACAGTTGTAACAATGTAACATTTATTAATATCAACATCGAATACAGTTGTGCTGCTTAATATTTTTGTGAAACCTGAGATTAATATATAAAAATCAAAAGAACGTAATTTATTTGAAATAGCAATGTTTCGTAACATTAATGATGTATTAAAGTGACAGTATATTTCTGAATATATATATATAATGAATATAATACATTTATAATGAATAAAAGGATTACTTTAAAAAAAAGTCAAACAGACCCAAAAGTTTTGAAAGGTGAGAAACAAGCTATTGTAAAAGCAATTACGAGTCTCTCTGATGCTTTGCGTGAGAAGAGCATTCAAAATAAATCTCTTATGAGGTTCTATTTCAGTAAGTATAGCACAATAACTTTGCAGAAGGTTTTGGAAAGGAGCCTTAAATGTCAATCAAGTCAAAATACCTGAAAGCAAAGATTAGCAGACTAATTCTAGGAAACTGATGTTAACAGGGAGTTTACAGTCACACTCATTTGAACAGGTATGCATACGAAAGTTTAACAACAAGTAATTCTCCAATCCAATCCATTATTTCAGGTATTTGTTCATGCGAGATCCTGCAAATGCATGATCAAAACCTCAGAGACGCGGGTCAATAACTGCTGACCGTCTGGAAAGGCGCTCTGTCAAACCCTGGCGCCTCTGCTAGACATAATGTGCCACGGTGAGTCATAGCAAGAGAGATAATCTGTAAATAATGAATTAGCTTCAGTGCAGAACGCTGAATGTTGGTAATGTATGGCAGAAGACGGTGTCTGTGCTTATTTGGTTAACAGGGAGAATGTGCAGCAAGGCCGCTCGGAATATTCTGTTTGTTAAATGCAGAGAATAAGAAATATGTGTGGCTGGCGGAGAACAAATAAATGGCTCTTTGAAGCAGGATACAGGGGCTTTCCCCACAGACTCAAAGCCAGCCACCCCAAGCCTCCAGGCCTCAGAGGTCCAAACACATCCAGTTAACAGGGCCACGAAGTTCAGCGGCTCTTACCGACAGACTGTGGGATCCAGTTACTGGAGTTACAGGGGAAGGACTCGACTGCCGACTCAGCGGATAAGCTTCTCAATGGACCGGCGCTCCAGTAAAGGCCCCCATATACCGACATGAGAAGTTCTTTTTCATTCTTCGATTAAGGTTCGAAATACCTTTTCAGCTGTATAGTGTTAGCGAACATCCTGATGCTGCCAAAGCTGCTGAGAGTGGGGTTTAGATGAATATGTAAAAAAATATGTAAAAATGTGCTGTGTCTTTCTATCAATAACAACATAAAACAAAAAATGACAGGGCTGAGAAAACGGCAGTTAAGAAAGCATCTGATTATATTAATGTGGGTTTGTTTGCGCAAGTTCTGAAATTCTGCACCCCAGGAAGTCACGTCACGTTTATTTATATATCACTTCACTGCTCCGATAAGGATTTTTGGGGCTGATCAATGATTACCAATCACTGGCCAATACGATCACCGAAATAAATTATAGGTCAACTATTCTTAACAACAATGTATTTTAATTAGGCCTATAAAAAATAATCATGATAAGAAAGTATTAAGCTGCTGTCCCTTTAAGGGTTATTGAATGCATGGATCCAATATACTGATACACATGTGACATATTTCCCAACTGTTCATGTTAACTGTCTTAAGACATAACCAACAGTTTAAGCGAATATCACCAAGCTGTGTATTTTAACATATTTCTGTGTGTTGTTAACGGTTTAGGCGCGAACCTGAAACTCGGTTCACTTTGCTTGTCCGTGTTCCACTCCATCTCGGAGAGCGCACACAGAAAGCCGCTTGGGGAACAGTATCACTTTTGCGGCTTAATGCAATTTGAATAACTCTTTTTATTAATCGAGCACGTCCTGCAGTTTAGCAACAGTAGACTGTATTATCTCAATCACTGATCTAGCTGAAAAATGCGAGTTTTGTGTCATCTGATCGGCCTTTGTAGAGAACACGATCAAACTATATAAAGCTATTATCGGCCGATAACGATCGACGCCCGATCAATCGGAGCACCCTTATTCTTACTCTGATATTGTCCTCATTTTACCGTCATACTTCACTATTCTCGCTCATGGCTATCAGTCCATCGTTTCCCGTTGACCTCATTGTCTTGACAGACTGTAGCGAGGTCCAAATAGCTCCTTCCCGAACCTATCATCCTGCATCTCTCCTTTCCTACCCTCCCAGCACAGATCATTTACCACCAGCAAGGTGACATCATTGCACTATTTCTGGGATCTGTGACAAACTGTGGCCCCGCTCCACCGCAATTATGTCATCGAACGGCGCTGGGTTACGGATATGGGCTGAAGCTGAATGGGCATAATCACTCATTCACTCGTTCTGTGCTCCTCACATGCCTGGGGACCGTAAGACACACCGAGTCATAGTTGAAGACCTGAGGCTAGCAAGCAGGCTTTAAGCTTCCTCTTACTCAACGTGTTACCACAATGCTGGTGTTACAAGGAAATTAGTGATTTCCCATCATAACCTCTGATTCATGATGCATGTCAGAAGCCACGAGTGTCACTCATTTCTCTTATCAGGAATACTTTCATAGCCAGAAAAATGTTGACGAAGTTGCTAGATCCCTTGCATTTAGACAGACTGGCAGCACCTAAAAAAGGATGTTTTTAATAAATAATAGATATTCATACCACACATTCCATTTTAACCAAGGGATACAAGATGTAGCACTACGCCTTGCATGCTTAAATTAAGCCATTGACGTTATTTTCAGCACATGTATATGCAAACAAGCAGCATTTAAAAATAAATTAGGTAGACGGGAAACAAAATTTCTTAACCATTTTTTTTTGTGATAAATGAAAGAATAATCATACTGCAAAAATCACACAAAAAAATTCACTCTTACATAAAATAAATGTTCCTGCGTGCCTAATTTGAAGAAGTAGAATAAGTTTTTTTTGTATTTAAAAACATGAATCTTCCTGTTATATCTCAGGGCTATGGCAATAAATCTGCATATAAATTATACTTTTATTTTGAACAGTTTTTTTGTGATAAATGTAAAAAATATTCATATGATACATATTTTATAATACATATCATTTGAAAATTTCACCATGTTAACTGGTCTAAGGCATTAAAATAGCATAATTTGGATATTGTCAGCAGTAATGAATCATAACCAGGCATATCTCTTTAGTGGTGTAATCAAGTGCACTTTTAGAGCAATGTTATACAGTTTCACTAAAGTAGCCCAGGCAGATAGCTGCCACAATCTATCGCTCAGAATTGGCCTTCAAGCTAAGAAAGTTGTGTAAAATGCATTCAGCATTTTGTGAACGTTTGGGCTTTACCTCATTTGCATAATTCCTCAGGAGCGTTCAAATTAATGCTAAGGAACTCTCAGTGAACTCCCGTCATTGTCTTACAGCATGACATTTTACATTTAAGGAAGCAGCGTCTGTTTTAAACAGGTCCCTCCCTTTGAAAAGCACTTGCCTTTGTAAGGATGCACCATTCCCTCCATCATGTGCACACTGTTGTCAGGCTGGAGCTGCATTGAAACATCGCCCACAGCTCCCACGAGTTCAGCAAAAAAATCCGCCACCTCCCCGCAGTCCTCCAGAACTACATAGCGATCCTGACGATTGGTGAAGTAGGAGTCGCTCAGATTGGCCCTGTATGAGATGATATCATACTCAGAGTGGGCAACAAACATACCCTCCTCCACTGAGCTCCATACAGTCTACAAACAAACCCGGAACCATGAAGAGCAAAAGCTGTGGGGATATTTTGTCAGAGAGAAATGTCGGTATTTACATCGCAAGCTTATTTTAGTTAGTCAGACATAACAGTGTCCGCTTTTGCAATGATATATGCATGTGTACATACCCACTGATGATGAGACTGTTGTCAAAAAGGTATGCCTTGATGTGCTGCACCCCGATGGTTTCATTGAAGCGTTCGGGCACCAGAAGACGCAACAGTCCCCGCAGGTCTGGTGTGTGGTACAGGGACACTCTCATCTGATCGGGGAAACGCTGGAGCAGCGGCAGTAACATTGTGCGGGAATTGTGCTTACCTGTAGATGCAAAAACAATAAACAGGGAAACTATAATGAATCAGTGCATACACTGAAGTAATCTACACTAAAGGGACATACACTGAAAACTACAGATACCGATATGCGTCACCTGCTGTCTTATTTGAACTTCTGTCATTAAAATAGATTACTGTTTTGATCATGTTTTAAATTAGCAACGTTTAAAAATGAATGCATTAAGGTATATTAGTTAATTTATTGCTGAATCAAATAATTTCTACTTGACATTGTTTGGATCCATTTAACATTCAACGGGCCAACATATAAATACATAAACAAACAAATACAAAAGAACAAAGATGCATATGAAATAAACAGTGCTTTTCAGGTAGGTGTAACAGTAGTTTTCCTGGAGCCTGCTTTGGATGTGTGCATAAACAAAACTTCTGAAACAGCGAGTAGAATTGAGCTCTCTATCACTTCTTCTTGCTCTTGAATATTTAAATTCGCAAGATTTAAAAACATGTGCAAAAGGATAAATATTTGTGAAGATGCAGCACTGGCCCGATCGGGACAGTCACAGTTCCGTCAATTGTCCCGAGCGTTGTTCACGCTGGCCCCGGGCAGTCTGTATTGTCGAGCCCTGCTGTATTTTGTACCGATTTAATTTTATTTTAGCAAGCTCGTAGGCTCACGCATCACACACATGACCAGCGTCGGCCAATAGTGAGCCTACGTGGTGACGTACAACACAGAAAGTCTGCGCTGTTACACTACGTGAACTCACTCAGGCCCATGCAGAAGAAAATTAATAGTTGAATAAAGTCGTAATTTTTGTTTGTTTTTTTGCGCACAAAAAGTATTACCGTCGCTTGATAAACATATGGTTGAGCCACTGTAGTCACTTGGACTGTTTTAACGATGTCTTTAATAACTTTTCTGGGCCGACAAGTTTCAATCCCTTAGAAGCCTATGGAGGAGTGATCCAGCTCTCAGATTTCATCAAAAATATCTTAATTTGTGTTCCGAAGATGAACTGAAGTCTTGCGGGGTTGGAACAACATAAGGGCGAGTAATTACTGACAGAATTTTCATTTTTGGGTGAACTATCCCTTTAAATACACAGGGAAATGAATCAAGGAAGTGAATGACACTTGCAACGACTCAAACAATCAATGAAAAACCATGGAAACTAACTGAAAACAAGGAAACAACTAAAACATGTGACAAACTCACCCAAAACAGAAACAAAAACAGATAACCTGTTACACAAGTCAGTCCATTCCAAGTCCTTCACTAGCACCTAGGGCTGGGCGATAAAACGATAACGATAATTATCGCGATATATTTTTTCTCGATAAAACGATATCAAGAGGTCGATAAATGTTCGATAATGTGTATGCGCCAAAAGCGGAACGAAACTCATTTGAACCGCGCGCCACACGGACCGTTTATCCGCTCGGCTCAAAGTCCAAATGGCAGCGCAAGCTCACTAGAGCAGACACGTTTACTCTGATCGTCTCGCTCACGAGATCCAGTGAGAAGCGCTAAAGTTCAGCGAAGAACACAATGTCCAGTTTAAATCAGTTTAAAGGCAGATGAAACACCGCTGACAAACAGGAGAAACACTGCGCAGCGAAACAGTCAGAATCTGAATTGATACTGAATCCATTTAGCCTACCATGGATTTACTGTAACGTTAGCCTAGTAATATTAACTGCACCATGAAATGTGGGATATACATATTGAATTGTATAATAGTATTAATGTAGACAATGTATTAAATGACTAATGGAATATAATTACAGTATTTAATGTATTTAACTGTTAGGCTACTGTTTTTCATACAAATACCATAGAAACCATAAAGTTAGATTTTGCCATGATAGTGAGGTGCTATAGGCTATGCCTGGTTTTATCTGTGGTTATCATGATCTAAATGCATGATACTGGATGACCAATGGTTAATTTTAATAAAACTCAAACAGTCAGAATATTACATTTTACAAAATAAAAATGTGGTCCTTAAATTAAAAAAAAAAAAAAAAACAGATGTTACTGTTTTTGTTAATGAACATAAATTTAACATAGTAGCATTAGCTTGAGTTAGGATGTAGATTTACTGTCAACTCACTGTCAAATATACATTTCGAGACAAAACATGTAATTTGAATATTGCAGCCTGCACTGCAAACTGCTGAAGAAATATTTTTCTTTTCAGATATTTATTTTGTTAAGGAAAAATGACAAATGTTTGAATGTTCTACCTCAGATTTTTAAAACCACAACGCTCTGGTTTATACAACTTTCAGTTAGGAGCAAAAATCTGCCTTTAAACTTGAAAGAAATAAAGATTTGACATTTATCGTGATAATTATCGATATCGACTGATATAAAAAAAAAATATCGTGATAAATTTTTTTGGCCATATCGCCCAGCCCTACTAGCACCTATACCGAACTGTGATGCCAAGGATCTTTTGATTATGATTATAAAAAATATTAAGCAGCACAACTTTTTTCAATATTCATAAAAAAAAAATCCTTGACCACTTGGAGCACTCCTATTGGTAGTCGTCACATTGCGTCATAGCTCATTTGCATAGAAGCATGGCGGTATATCATACGCATTGCCAACAGTTGCTGTCGTTCACACCAGAAATTGCCAACTCACATTAAAAAAAAAGATGAATAACCTTAGGTCTCTCAGAGAGTGAATGCCCTGTTTATTCACATAATAAGAGCCATTTTCATGAGCAAGTAGAATCTAAACCATACAATGAAGGTAAATCCTGCCATACGATGCCTCAGTTACCATGATATATTAGGTTATGAATTCTTACAACATCATTGGGTCAGTTCAACAGCACATTGAAAGCACTCAATGGAATGACTAACAGTTCCTTATAAGTTGTTTGTGAGGTAAAAGAAAAGAAAAAACAGGGTGGAGGTCTGAACATGCAACCTACAATTACTAAATCTGGAAATCTTCCAAAATGACACCCACGCTATTATATTAGAATAGACATGGTGCACGCATGTTAGTCAGTGTTCACAGAGGGAAACGAACATTAGCAGGGGGTTTTCTGTATGAATTATTTCCTGATAGTTTCATAGGAATGTGATAAAAAAACCTCAAGCTATGACTTTTAAAAGGAAATAAAAGAACAATATAGAGGGAAGTTCACAAATGATTGAGTGAGTGTGAAGCTTTGTTCACAGTGCAGAAATTCTCATCTGACTTTGAAATCCGATCTTTGGGACCGATTGTCCTCACTGTCATTTCCAAGTGATGAAATCATATCCACATGTTCAGTGTTGTCAATGTACATATAGTAATGACTTCATAACATATTAGACATATCAGATACATTACTGTATTTTACACAATCATACATATGATGTGCGTGAAATCACTCAATCTTTCAAAACGTGATTTTAAATGAGTGAATTGAATACCACATAATGTGATTTAGATCGGATTGAATCAGGCTCTCACATGTTTTTGCTGTTCAGACTACAACAACTCCAAGGATTTAGGTTGGATATGCCAGTTGCTGTCTGTCCGAACAAAGCCTGAGAGTGTGTGAGTGAGACAGTAGCCCCTTTCACACATACAGTCTTTACTGGTAAATTACCGTTAAGAGATCATGTGTGAACAGGACCTTTTCAAAATTACCTGTAAATCGGTTGTGGCAATTTACCAGCATGAGAAATTGTAACATTACCAGTAAATTACCAGCATGATGGTGTGTGAACAAAGAATGAAGATTACCGGTATGAGCATGTCTGAGCTCAGAACGCGCTGACATAATACGTTTGATTTGGGCCAATCATAAAGCTCCGTTGGATCTGTTTACGTTAAGTTCTGCTGCTCTTAACATGCAGATGTCTGAGCATTGCAACGCTTCTCCTTTTCCATTCATCGACTCTGCAGTTATTGCGAACTATAGTAACTGCAATACTATAGTAAATATGGGTCTCACATTTTTAAGAGCTAAACCGCGTTCTGTGTGATCGCTTGTCACTGAGATGTAAAAAAAAAAAAAAGAAAAAAAAAAAGTAACTAACATGAAACTAAAGTGCTTCTCCTCATCCAGGTAGATAAATAAAAGGGCTCAGCATTTAAAGGTCATTTCCGATGATTGACATCACAGAGTTTATTGGTATTTTGGTATTGATGTGTGAATGATACCTTTCCGGTAAAAAGACGGAACGCCGCTGCTTGTGTGAACTGCACATTTGTGTATTTACTGGAAAGACGTTGTGGTAATTTTACGGTAATTGAACGGGATTGCTGTGTGAAAGGGGCTAGTGTGTGAAAGAGACAGAAACAGACCTCTTGAGCCTCTGGTATAATCCAGCAGAAAAGACACTTTGAGATCAGGTGCATGATCTTCCTGTGAGCGCTCTAATGCCTCTTCCATGCAATCAACCTTCAAAAAAAATTAGACAGTCACTGAAAGAAGCCTCTAATTATTTAATCCATGTTAGAGTTTTTAACCATACACTAGGGTTAAGCAATATTTTTGATTATTTTTCTGCTGCAGGAACGTTATGGCTTGGCTGGCTTTGCATGTTGATTCGAACAAGGAAATGTTACCTTACTGTACAGTGAGATAGTAGTTAAATTAAATTTTTATACTAAGATTTAACAACACCAGATCAAATTCTCTTCAGAGTTTTCAGAAAATGTTTGCAGATTTGGTTGTGACATGAGCTACTGTTCATACATGATCTTTTTGATTAACAAATGAGCTATTCTTGAACTTACAGGGTTAAAACAGAGGATGATAAATGCCAAACATTACTTCCTCTTATGTAATATTCTCAATGAGAAACTGCACAAAGACAGGCTTTTCTTTCTCAGTGACAGTAAATGTGTGCAGACAGGTTACATACCAGGTCTTGCTCTAGTGGTCCTGTACCCAGGTACAGTGATGCCATCACCACACGACTCTTGGCTGTCTTGATACGAGCCTAGGCAAACAGAACAACAAACTTAATGAGACATTGAGTTAAAGCTTATTTTATAAGCTATTCACCTTGTTTTTAACATAGGAGCAGGCTTGGCCATTGTAACTTGATTGTGTCAAGGCTTCCGCTCTCAACCGCTTCTAGTTATTTTGGCTGTACAAAAACTATCCGTTATGCTGCTTAATTTTGCAAAATGTTACTTATCACATTATTTTAATTTAGTATCATAATCAAAAACTCTCGTTTATAGCGCAGTTTTTTTTTTTTTTTACCATTTACAGCATTTTGTTATTCTTCCTGTTATTTAGGCTACCTGTAGCGGTAACTGAATCTGATCTGAATGAAGCTTACTTCTGCATTAAAAAAATAAGGTTAATAATGTTATAACAAAGCAAACTTATAAACAAATTGGACAAAAAACAATTCCCCAGACAATCTTCTGAAATTGAAAAACCAGGATTTGACCAAAATTCCATTTCTAATCTTACATTTATTTATTTTTAGAGCCATATGAGTATCATAGGCGATTTTATGGCAATATCAAATTTCTTTAACAAACAATTTCACAAATAAGTTACAATATTACAATTAAAACTATACACAAACTTTCATCCTTTTATTACTTTTAATGTTAAAAATAAAATAAAAACTAATAGAAAGAGACACATTATGACGTTTAGAATGGATATATGGCACAGATCCACCTGTTTTGTTATATAAAACATCATCTTCTCGTAAGTATCATCTACACTATATTTTACAATGTTATGATATAAATATGACTATAAACAGAAAGGCACTTATTGGAGTGAGATAATATCTGTTGGTCATAAAACATTAAAGCCAAAATCAAGTCAAGTCACCTTTATTTATATAGCACTATAAAGTGTAAAAAAAAAAAAAAAAACCTTTACAGTGATAACAGGAAATTAATGATTCAGTGATGCAAACAGAATTCAATTCGCTGTAAAGCAGCTCGTCAAAGAAAATAGTGTAATTGTTTAGCTGAGGTCAGTTCAGTGTTGAACAAAGGATTTCTTTTTTAAAACCTTATAGTCCTATTTACTGACTATATGGTTCTCTAAAGGTGCAATTGCTTGGCTTTCACGCAGAACACAAACACGCACGCATACCTTCATTGCTTGATAAAACTCATCAGGTGAGTGAAGGATGTGTATGTGGCCCCCAGGGACCCTGAAAGCAGGTACATGATCAGCCATCCAGTGGAAGCGAGAGTGGAGGCCCTCGACACCAGTGAAGCCTGGAGGTCTGGAGGAGGCCAGGGGGGCTGAGTCCGCCTCTGCCAGGAGAGGGGCCAAGAGCAGCACAGCGGACCTACAGGATGACAGGAAGTACGACAGAAATAAGGGGCGGAGAAACCCTTTAATCAGAATCCAAGAGCGAGGCTGGCAGAACTCCTCAACTGTACACAATGCACTGTGGTTTCAGTTTACACTATTAGTAAATATTGCATAATCTGGTGGCTGAACAGTGATACTAAACTCCATGCTTAGTTTTTGTTTCCTGTTGGGTCCCAAATAACTTTTTCCAGCAAAAGTGTGCGACTTAAACTCCCCACAGGTAGTTACTACACACTACTGTTCAAAAGTTTTGGGTCAGTAAGATTTTTTTTATGTTTTTGAAAGAAGTCTCTTATGCTCACAAAGGCTGCATTTATTTGATCAAAACTACTTTAAAAATGGCAATATTGTCTAATATTATTACAATTCAAATGCAATTTAAAATGTAATTTTTTCCTGCAAATTTTCAGCATCATCACTCCAGTCTTCAGTGTCACATTATCCTTGAGAAATCATTCTAATACGCTGATTTGGTGCTCAAGAAACATTTCTTATTGTCAATGTTGAAAACAGTTATGCTGCTTAATATTTTAATAGAATAGAATAGAATAGAATAGAATAGAAAGTTCAAAAGAACAGCATTTTTTATTTTTATTTTTTTAGGTAACATAAATTACACTTTTGACATCTATTTTTTCAAATTAAAAAAACTAATAAGTTAATTTTCTTAGCTGTTTTTTGCTAAGGACAGCTGTTTATTTGGACAAAAAAATAATATTTTATAATGAAACTTTTTGTGATTTCAAATATTGGCAACAAAAATTGTTGTGCCCTGGTCGCATCTGGCAAAACAGTGAATAAAACTGCAATAATAAATAACAAAAAGTTTCAATATTTCATTAGCATATGCAGTTACAGCTATGCCTGTGCAATATGGACCATTTTATGCAATATCTTTTGTTATTTTAAAAACAATAATTAAACCAACAGCTCTCTTTTTCTCAAAACTTGATTTCAAACTACTCAGTCAGGACAGAGCCCTAAATCCAGCTCCAAATGCAACAGTGTTCAGAAGACACAAAGGCAGTAATATGGTCTGTATGACACAGCATGAAGTCTCAAACTGCAACCCTTTACTCAGATCTACTGCCAAACACCAAGGTCACGTCGAGTTCTCAACGACCCAGACGGTGCTTTTCCTCACAGAACCCAGAGTCTCACCGCACATTACAGTAGATCTCACATAACTCCTGAGAAAACAAAAAGAAAAGAGGCGCCTTTGAGAGCGCCGTGACCCTGTGGAGACTGAGTGTAAAACAATGTGAAGGTCCATAGTGAGTGTCAGATTATGAATCAATCTACACAAATTAACTATCTGTGTTTCTCATACGCATCAACCCTGCTTCAAAAACAAGACCCAGGTTTAAAAACCCTCATAGATCTGCCCTAACAAGATATTCAGGAAAAGGCCTAATACTACTAATACTATCCGGCTGAAAAGTGATTTGATTAAAGTGACCTTTACAGAAGAATGCAAACATTAAGTGGCTGCTTTGTAAACCAGTCCTTTTAATTTTTCTAGAATGAACCCCCTTTCATTGCAATGCACATCACATAACAGCAGTTCAACAAGAATATCTTATCAACAAACGTTCACCTTGGACTACATGCTTCTGTCAGAAAAAGAACATGAACAAGTGTCCATATTTACATTCATAGAATATCGTGAAAATTAAAAAATGTGACAGCTGCCAGATCAGACATGCCTGAAACAGATAACATCTCCGTAATAACAACTGACAAACCCCGATCCTTGGTTTATTAGGTAAGGGGGAAACTATCATCACACTAACCAGTATGCAGTTTGACAGCTCAATAAAGGATTATGAAACAAAATATGTTATGGAGTAACCATTCACATCAGTTGGATTTTTAGGGTGAACTATAGCTTTAAAAATGACATGTTGTCACTGGACATTAGGATGGTTACTGGAAATAAGCTAATGAACAATAGCAGAGCTAAATCAGCAACCATCTTTATTGTTATAATGTTTACAGCCTTTATTCTCAAAATCATCTTGATAACTGTAGCTCAACACATTATGTAAGTCAGATCTCTCCCTTAAACAACCACAAGCTAACATTAGCCAAGCACGCGATTTAACATTACGCGATTTCTATCGTTTGTCTTTATGTAATGCATAATGCGATCGCTATCATTTACCCTCGCCTCCGATCATGTGTCCTGAAAAATCGGTCTGTTATCCTCGTGAAAACCCAGGAGAAAGCAGGAGTATACGAAGAGAACACAAGTCTTTTCCATGTCATGGGCGCCGCCATGTTTTCATAGGACTTTGAATGTCAAAACTTTATCGATAACCTGGCGCGACAAACTTGAACACGACACAGAAGCCTGTAGTGTGTAAACAAGACAAGTTCGCTCATTAAAACGAGAGGACTTCCAGCCTTGATGAGGTATGAATGCTGGTCTCTCGACTTTCTCTAAGTTTTTATCAGTGATAAAAATACCACATTATCTCACGCTGACCTTATATTCGAACTGACCTCTAGCCATCTGTAGCCTAGGCTACCGTCCTAGTGTATTTCCAGGTTAGGGTTAGAAACCATGCCAACTGCCTTTTGCAGTTTTTACGGGTGCATTTTTTCCACATTAAGTGCTTCCTAAAAAAAGTTTTCTTCATCAATTAGGTAGGCTATCTTCCGTCTCATTTCAACTTCTAAGTGCGACAATGGCGTTTGACAGCTACTGTCAGAGGAGCTAAATTAATCATTATATAGACAAAGAATAAAATATTATGAAATATATCAAATCAAATGAGAGTAATTTTAGCATACATTTGATGTGTTTGGGGCATTTTTTGCTCCAAGCTCTGGTTAATTTCTGACACTGTCACATATTGTTACTTGCACCATATTGTTTAATTTAAATCTTAATATTAGCCTAATATATTAAATAATATAATAAGTAAGTAATTTAAATATGAAATAATATTTAAATAAAAAAATATGCATTTATGTTTTGATGCTAACTGTATTTAATCTAAAAAGCTAATGTGATTTTAATTGTATATTTCACGGCATTATGTAGTTATTGATTCACGTGGTTCATAAATATCCGAAGCTTCTGATCAATGACTTTTATGCACAAATATCCCTAATATTCATTGATGTCTTTTGGAGGGAGGTCTACTGCTGCCATCCTATAGATGGCGTATGGAACAAATCCAGTAAAGGGGCAGTGTGTATGGAATACAGTGTGAGTCTATCTAGTAGGCTATCTTTTGAATGCTATCTAGGCTACTACATACCATACTACACTATACTATCACTATACTTTACTATAGGCCTACTACCCGGGCGCAACAGCATAATGTCTGCCCACTGCTTCAGGTATAATCACGGATTGCAGTGTGTGTGTTCACTACTCACTACTCTGCTCCTAATGTTTATGCACTAACTTGGATGGGTTAAATGCACAGAGGACAAATTCTGAGTATAGGACAGGTTATACATAATTGGCCTTCACATGTCACTAAACACTATACTTTTACTATAATATGCTATACTGTATAACTACTATACTTTACTATAGAAAAATTGTATACTTAACGTTTCCTCATAGCCCTGTATTCCATTTCAAATAGCCCTATGTCAACATAAATCCTGATGATATGCAAAATGATTCTGTATAAAATAGACCAATAAAACATAATAATATGCAACACGTGTGTGGTCAGATATCAGTCATAATAACACACCGACCGCATTTATATCTGCAAGGGCAGTGCAACTTTTCACCTTGTGTGTACAGGGAAGGGAGGTGGAGAAATCCCGTAAAAAAGGGTCACGCTGATTATTTATTGGCAATCCGCCACGTGCGTGTGTGTGTGTGTGTGTGTGTGTGGTTGCTTTACTGGAAGAGGGGGTGGAGCTCTTTAGAAATATCAGTCGGTACTTCAACTCGATGGCACAAACAGGACACCTCCACTACCTCTCATAGACTTTTACACAGCTGATCTCTGATCAACTGTTAAAAAACTGACATGAAACTGATCTTTATCCCTTTAAAAGAAGGTCTATTTTGCATAAGCGGTTATATGGAAATCATAAAAGGAGCTATGTTTTAAGAAAACTCCAAGATTGATTCGGATAACACTTTGAAGGTAAAACAACGTTTTATTGTAATGTACTAAAATTCTTAATCTATTATAAATGCATGCATATGTTATATATTATATCGGCTTATTATGCATGCCTCGTTAAATGCGGTGCTACATGGTATCCCTGTAAAAAAAAACTGTTGTTGGTCTTTGTAATGCGAGCTAACGCATATCCTAATAGTTTGAATTCTGCTTGGGTTATATATGTGGGCTAGTCGGACTAACGACCTCAATGTAACCCGAATAAGTCGGTGAATTTGTATTCCAATTAGGATAAGAGAGTGAAGGGGTATTTACAATGTAACACGAGACAGAGACCGTGTGTCATGAATGAGGAATTGGGTTATTCACAACGAACTGGAGGACCTCATTCATAACCTGTTTTCCAATAGTCCGAGAGAGCGATCGAAGTCGATATCGGATTTACACGGTCGAGCTTGGACTAAAAATAAGGCTTCGATTAGCAACTCGTTAATTGATCCATTGATTTATCCATTGCTAGCTGTTTTAACATTTACGCTTCAAAATGATCTGTTATGTTCCAACAAGTACTCATTTTCATCTAGTGACTAGTCAAACTGGTCACTATTGTTTTTTTTTTAACTAGTAACATTAGTACTAGTAAAAGTAGAATAGGTTACAGGAATAATACTAGTGGAAAGTGAATGGTTGATATTTAAAACAGAGATCTCTATATAATTCATTAACTTGAATAGTTTGTAACCAGTATTATTGGGTACCAATAGTACTAGTAACAGTATTACAAAAAAAGAGATAAGTACCAGCAACATTGCCATACTATTCAGATGTGAATAATTGATCTAAACAGATTCCCATATAATTCAGTAACAAAAATATCAATTTGTTGTTACTAGTAGGGATAGTAGATAATAGCAATAGTACTAGTAAAATTGAAATAGGTACCAGCAACATTGGCATACATACTAGTCAAAAGTGAATAGTTGATCTACAATACAGATATGTAGTTCAGTAACAAAAGTTGTTATCAGGAGTATTGAGGACTTGGAACAAAGGGAATTGACAAAATACTAGTCACTACCAATATTATACTAAATAAATGTACTAGTAACTTTAAAAAAAAAATTGACCAATAAGTTGAAATAAATAAATGTTTAAACAGCCATAATTTATCCCCAACTAGGACGATTAGACCATTGAAATGCTTAATGTGTAAATATGATGTTTCTTTGGAGCGGGAGGGTTGGGCTTTAATGATAAGGAACACATGTGAGAAACATCCAATCCAGTTATTAGAACCATGAATGGCCCTAATAAAGCTGATGTCATAGCAGATCTAAGTCTGCTGGCACTGGCTTCTGTTGTTCTCACTGTTTGGTTGATTCTGACATTTTCCATTTGGCTTTTCCCTACAGCTGCCTTCCATACCCACCGAGACGACATTTCTTCTGGATGTGGAAGAGGTGCCAGAGCTTTGGGAGTTGTGTTGGTGCTCTCCGGTGCATGAGCACCCTGGCTGGGACGGCCCTTCGGCCCTGGACCCCGAGCACCAGTGGTTGCCGGGTGGTACAGGGGGCGGGCAGAGCGCCATGGTAACGCACAGTAGGTTTGACAGCGCCATGAGCAGCAGCCCCTTTGAAGGCGGCGTGCCCCTGCCCCCCCACCGGTACAAGACCTTCAGTTCTCGGGCGCAGTATCAGATGGTGCTCGCGGCTGTGCGCAAACTGCAAGAGAGCGGCTTCTACTGGAGCACCGTGAGCGGGAAAGAGGCCAGCGCTCTGCTGAGCGCCGAGCCCTCGGGGACCTTCTTGGTGCGCGACAGCTCGGACCACCACCATTTCTTCACACTCAGCGTCAAAACGACAACGGGCACCAAAAACCTGCGCATCCAGTGTGATTCCTGCTCCTTCTTCCTGCAGACCGACCCCCGGAGCGAGCAGGCGGTGCCACGCTTTGATTGCGTCCTCAAACTCATCCATCATTACATGCCCTCGGCAGGGATGGGGACCTCGACGAAGGTCCAAGCTGTTGGAGGCAGCGGAAGCGCTGCAGACGGAAGTGCGTACTTCATTTACTCCGGTGGCGAGAAGATCCCTCTGGAGCTACTGCGTCCGCTGGCGTCTAGCATGTCTAGTCTGCAGCACCTATGTCGAAAGACTTTAAACGGTCATATAGACGTGTCCACCAAACGGGACCAGCTGCCTCATCCACTCCAAGAGTTCCTCCAGGACTATGATGCTCCTATCTAGCTATTCTTGATGGGTTTTATATGTGAAGGGCAGAAGATTAAGGCGCACAAGTGGAGATTATCACTCCAGACCTCGGCGTCTGTCAGCATTGCAGGCCAGCTGTGCCTTCGACCTCTGGATTGTGAACTTTTGAAGGACAGCACGAGATGTGTACTTCCACTCAAGTGGATCTGACATCTCAGCAGCTGTTGACACGAACGGACTTCCACGTTCCAGCGGCCAGTCTCAAATAGGGACTGCTGAAGATAAACACAAGTGATAGTTGATCAGTAGAGGAGTTAAGTGTGCTGCTATGGCTACAGTCCAGCTCCTCATCATCGATCGGGAGACACTCTCTCACGTCCGTTTTCTTTAGCTCGACATTTTTTGACTTTCTCCTGGAAGGAAGGAGCGAGAGCTGGGTGTTTGCAATGACACACACATTTCCACTGCTTCTTGCCAAGTGTAATTGCCTCATAAGTGGGCGTGGGGGCTCAAACGGGGTGGCTACTTACCGCTCACGACCGACACTGCCGTGTCTGCTCTGGTGACCGTGTGCGGGGTCAAGAAAAAGGACTGGCGCGAACGTATCGACCCGACGAGAGGCCCGTTACTGCGGACGGTTTCGGGCCTAAGCCTTCTCTGGAGAAGACGGCCCCTCAGTGGACTGTTGTTACTTTGTTCATGACAGGAGCCAAAGCAAACCGTAGTTTCATTTGTGCTAGGAAAAGGCAGACTGAACATTGTTGATGATTCAATATGAGCAAATTGACATTCATATACTGTGAAGCAAATACAAGCACAGTATGAGAAACCTTTATTAACTGATTTACTGTGGTGTTTGACATGAAGGACCGTGCTTCTCTGATCCCTCAGAGAAGCATTTGTACTTTGTGCGCTTCAAAATCCTCATTCAATAACAACGGCACAGTGTTTGTTTCATTAGCAGGACTTGACGTCTGCTATTCCCTGAATGTA